CCTTCCTTTACAACTGCAGCCTTTTTGTAACTGAATTTATGCACCAAAATATGTATAGGAAAAGGAGACATTACATTTCCAAATTCCAAAGTTATCCTCCATAAGAGGCACATTCACTAAGCATTTTCTCCACTGAGCCATGGCAAGTCAGATCTGTTCCTTACACATATGAGGGGGGTACAGAACGAATCGGATAACTCATTCTTGAAGTTCCTGCAAAATTCAAGGAACTGGCCCCCTGAAAAAAACTCAGAGGTTGAAGGTGTATACCCTGAACTTCCCATTAAACTTTACAAACATAGATACAAATCAAACCAAGTAACATTGGCATAGAGAACTGCAGCAACAAACCTCAGCAAAGTTTCCAGTCCTGTACTTTCTCTCACATCTATTGCAGTGTCTCCATCTAGGAGCAGATCTTCATGCCTGGTCACTCTGTCTGCATCTGTAAAACTGTTCAGGTGATACTCTGGAACTCAAGCCAACTAGCACAGCAGTGCTCATATGCATGTGGCTGTTCTCTCTTGTTCCCAAAACAAGGCAGTACCTTCCAAACGCTACTGGCTTGTGCTAAAACTGAACTGTGCCCAGACACATCTGCAAGAATGACACCCAGCTCCCCCTAAAACTGAGTTTGGAACCATGCTAACTAATTATCTGCAGAGCCTCGGTATGGCAATATTTATGTTAATTAAGGGCCTTACTAATACGGTTGTTACTATTACCATAATACTGTGTTCCACCCCAGTGCAGAGATGAGGATGTAACCGTGTTTTGCAAAGAACTAAATGAGCCTCAAAGTACCCATTCAGAGAAGGAAGAGGGTTTTACACAATTTACAAACTAGGAGACTGTGAGATCAAAGGCTGCACAATATACTTCTATTCAAGTATATGGTAGTAAAGAGCCAAAGATAAGGGATGGGATTCCTGATTCTTATTGCTCACATTTAGCTGCTGGACCACTATCTATGATGCTAAATTATTCATAATTTCTCACAGGGAAGGCAGGCATGCACCCAAAAGAAAAGCTGTGTGCAAGAAAAAGAGTTATCTAAGTAGTCACACACTCTTTCAAAAGAGTTAGCTAACTGACAAAAATATGCTGCTGTAACACATTTTCATGTGTAGGCAGCAATTCTTCTCCACATCCTAGGGCTGGAATCCTGTGTGGGGAAAACTGAACCGCTTGGTGTGTGTAAAAGACAGGCCTCATTAACTCTTGGACATCTTCTCATTTCTTGGTCATAAATCCTATTACCTTGTATTACAAACTGCCATAAAACTCACAGATAAAAGATAATTTATGCTCAGTGTACAGAAGCTAATGTTTCTGTACTCCTGAGAAGCACAAAACCAGAAAATGAGAAAGTATGTATGTGAAACCTTAAGCCATTCATATTGAGCATGGCTAGCATGATAAACACAACTCTAAGGGTCTAATGCTTTTCAGCCAGGGTACAGTCTAATAGTAATTGATATTACCAAAATTTCAAGCATAAAATGTATGAACTGTTGTATAAAATATTCTGCTTATAAAGAGGGATTACTCATTAAAAATTCAGGCTTTCCTTCCTCTCCCACTACAGAAAGAAATATGACCTCTATTCGGTACACAGGTACATTTTTTTTTTTTTTAATTTCAACCATCACATTAGAAAATGCTTCAGAACAAGCATCACCTCCTGGAATTCTTACAAAGTCTCCCTATTTCTGACTCCTATCCTAATTAGTGTTCCATGGTACACAAAAAGTAACAACCCTTGGAGTTGGCAAAATCAAAGGCAACTTAATCTTCTATTTGCTTTTTCTCTGAAGCAATTTAAAATCTTCAGGCTTTGCCACTGATTTTAACTGTGTTGGTTATCTGCTCAAAGGAATATTTTGCTTTAGTGAAGACTGAGCAAAAGTGCTCATTTAGGTTGTTATTAGTTTTCCTTTCCCATTCAGACAAGAGAAAATCTTTCACTGTCAACTTATAACTTCTGGACCTACAAATTAGGTTCTCATTTCTTGGGCCCTTCCAGAGGGGCACCTCATTTCATGCCTGCTTTTTTTTTAAAAAAAAAATACTTGCTTAGTAATTTGACATATATTGGAATTCATTTATCTAAACTTAGATACCTACAGCGTATATAGTTAGATCTCAGCCTCCCACCCATTTCTCCATAGAGACCACGGAGACAGATATTTATGGGGTGTAATTATTCCCATCTTTTTTTTTCCATTTTCGTTGGAGGAGCTCATCCTTAAAGGTCAGAAATGAACATTAGAGAGTTTACTTCCTTGTAGTTTTCTTCACTTTCCATGCCAAAACATTTTTATCTATATATTTCAGAAACTTGCACTGTCTGTCCATCTATTTCCCAAGAAATGCCTCAATACTCAGAGTGCCCATTACTCTGACATTCAGTACTTGGATAATTTTACTGGCTGATGAAAAAAGGCTTTGTTTACCTGGTCCCCCTTGCTTGATTGTCTGCAGTGGATCCCAAATCAGACATTGTCCTTGCTGTCTTCCTCCTATCACCCTGAAGACTTTCGAGAAGTCTATAATCATGTTTCCTACAGCATGTGGACCCTTTACAAGTGTGTTAAATACTAATATATTTCTTCTGCTGTAACCCTATATATCAACACTGTAATAATGTGAAATCACTCTCTTTCAAAGCAATTACTTAATAGATTTTATGGTGTACTTACATACGTACTCACACCATCCTCCTCTTAGTTTCTGCATTAGTAATTAAAAATTCAGCACCTTGACTTGTTACTCCCCTTTGTATCCTTCCTAGGGCTGTTATGGGATTACCAGTTTATCTGCTGTATCCAAGTATTTTAGACTCTGCCTAGGTACACATGATAGAGAACCACACTCCTGATATTGTGAACAGAGGGCTAATGTTCTTTTGAAGCAAAACCATAATTATATTTTGCTCATATATATTATCCCAAAATCCAATACAGATCAGATTCTTCTTCCCCAAGAAAGGTTTCAGATCTACATTTTATAGAAAAAGAAACATGCTCTTAACTTTATAGTTTGCATTAGCATTTGAATTTCAAAACCTTGCTTCATTTGTTGCAGTTTCCAGAGACTTACATTTTGAAAAGTCAGTGGTCTCCCACTGTGTTAAACTCCCTCCTACCTTGATTTTAAATTACAAAGGGGAGAGGAGGGAAAAGAGAGAATGTCATGATTGTGGCTGTTTGCAAGAGAAAAATACCAGGCTGAACTTCATACAAAAAAAAAAAAAAGCACTTCCAAGCTTAGGATCCTTGTATTTTTCTGTGTATAAACTACTCACTTGATTTTTATCTAAACTATGTTATTATCTTGAGGTACCACGACAGTTGACTGAAGATGCTGACAGTGACAGGTTTAAACAACAATCAAAAGCAATTTTGTGTCAAAATTAGCACAGAGATTGTTTAAATGGCCTGCCCCCATATCTGCCCTTTATTTCTGTACACTACAAACAGCCTGAAGTTACAGAAGTCAGTTACTGGCAATACAAACTGACAGGCAGGTACGGCAGAAAAAAAATTATATCCTGTAGAACTCTCCCCATCTACAAAAAATATTACGTGCTTCTTGTACGGCATTATTAAAAACAGAACAAAGAAGTTTTCAGCAAACAGAAGCAATTAACAACCTCCCATTTCTATTTAAAATGCACAGATTGTGATTTTTTTCAAGTTATAAAGGGTTTAATTATTCATGGAAGGTTCTTGTGAAAGCAATCTTAGGCATGGCATTTTAAAGCTACTTACGGAAAAGACGAATTAAAATAATTAAAAGTCTTTCCAGTCCGAGCAAGAGCTTTGTAAGCTAAACTAGGAATTCTCCATCTTATCTTCGACATGTTCTTAAAAATATACTAAAATACATTTAGAGTGGTTGGTGAAGTACTGCAATCACAAATCAATCACAAGAAGTTTCTCCTCACTTTCAGATTTTAACCAAAGTTATCGTTTAGCCCTCTTTCCCCCTCATTCCTGCCTCTATCCATTTAGCTGTGTAACTAATGATCAGAGTAATTCCTCATCACACTGACAAAAGACCTCCTGTGCCTACTATCTTTCCTGCAGACACAGTGCTTCAAACTGTTAATAGAGTATCTGCCCCTGTGGCTTTAAATCTATAAACTCATAGAACCTCATTAATGCTTTTCTCGAATTACAATGAAACACACCTGGTGCAAGGTTTAGTCTGTGAATGTTATTTATTTTAATGAAATAAGCTTTCCAAGAGAAATTGGGAAAATTAGGTAAGCTTCTAGAAACCTCAACAACAGGAAAAGATATTTCCAAACAAATAAATGAATCACTATTAGAGAACAGTGTTTGATGTTTAGATTTGCCTTTAATTTAAATCTTAGAAGCAGAAGATCAGCAAGATCTTTTGCGTGTGTTGTTTTATGAATCAATAAATGCAGTAACAGACCTGAAAAACCACAAAAATAACACATCTTAAAGAAATTCTCTTGCTGATGCTATATGGATTCCCATCATGATGAACTGCACCACTGGGACTGCATAAGAGCTCTGCCTGATGTTTATGTCAGGAATTCCCTCATATCATCCTCTTGTGTCTTTCTTTTATTCTTCTTATTGCAGATATCCTTATTGCTACTCAACATGCAAAAGGGCTATGTGCTAAATTTAAACTTACTGGAACGGAATTTAAAGGGTTAATTTTACTTTTTTCCCCATTTATAATCAAAATCCTATATTTACCCAAATTCAGTTTTCATAGTTTCTGTTTTTCTTCTTTCTCTGCTTTAAAAAAAACCTATTCTGAACAAATTCAACAAAATCTTTTCCAAGGCAGGAATGCAGATCCCATCATTTGCTGTTCATTTGTCTGCAATGTATATTATTAGGCCCTGACCCTACAGAACAGAATTGAAAAAATGAGCACCTAACGGTGCAAGACCTATGGTGTCAGGGTGGGCGGAAGGTCAATTTTATTATGAAGTAACTTTTCACAACACTTACAGGTTGAAGCAGGTAAATCAGTGAGCACTCCTGGATAACTATGACTGGAAAGGGAGTGATATTTGTTGCATGAAAAAGCGTTTCCACTGATGCCATTGTTTGGTCAAAGCGTCCTCCAAGTCCGCCCAAAGTCACAATCACATCAATCTAAAAGATAAAACAAAAACAGTCACCAAGAAAACTCTCAGGAATGATCTCTAGACCCTGAAAATCCACAATAAAATCACTTTGGGAAAAAAAAAGAAAAAATAACTACTGACTATAGAAAAGAGAATGTCAAATACAGTTATTTACTCCCATTACCAATAAATACCATTATGTGATTTTGAGGCTGAGTAAATTCACATGTGGTACTTTTTAAAAGGATGCAACCATTCTCCATAAAATACAGGTCAGTCTTCGAAGGTATTTATCTGTCTGCCCTAAATATATGGAGCCTAAGATCTATCACTCCATATCTAAGCTCCTCAGGTAAGTGTGGTATATCTGAGCCATAGTATTTCCAGTTCTTCACATCATTTCAGTATTATCCTCACGGTTTATAGAGCAAATAAAGGAAATTTCAGGTTAGGGCCATTATATGTCATTCTCATTCCTGTCACGCAGCATTTCAGTGTACAAGCAATACCCCTGAAAGGCTGGCTCTGCCCAAGATTAGAAGTACTGCTGAATAGGAAGTTCCACCCTAAGCAACTGGGACATCATCTCTGTCAGGGACAGAGACAGGCACAGGAGCGCTCTCCTGTCCCAGTCCCAGATACACAGAAAGTGCTATCTGACTGTTTGCAGTAGGCCATGGTGTTGGACTGCTCCTGCTCAGTTCCCTCACACAAATGTTCTAGACTTTGAATACTTTATTTCCTATAATCAGAAAGGGAGTATTTAAAAGCCTTGGTTAAGAGCTTTCAGGTTCTCAGACCTCATTGAATGCAAAGTATTATTATTATTACTTCCATAATGTTGATCAGTTTTGTTCATTAATTGTATTTTAAAAAGCTACCACTAAGTCATATCTAGGGCCCTAACACATTGCAGCTTTAAAGTCTTTAGAAGCTGCCTTGACATTGGCCATCTGGTGAAGTTTTCAACTTTATAGAGCTTAAGTCTATGGCTGCTGTGATTACATGAAATTTTACTCAACCCAGGAGCCACATAATGGTGCCCTGTGAATCTGGAATGATGTATTAATAGCATCAGCTTCTATTTTTATTACCAGGTCTAGGGCTTTATGATTCTGTTGAATATTCTTTTGCATGAAAATTGTCTTTTCCTTCCTTGAAGAAATATACCATTTTTCTCACCACCAGGAAAATACCTGAGAGGCCAGAATGGATCAATATAACACATTATATTAGCAGCAAACACTGAAACAAAAAAACTATCCTTGTACTGCTGACAGCATGTATTTTCTGTGCAGATTACAGATCACATAGACCTAACATACCACCAATAGAATATGAATTGTAGCAAAACCTATTCTTAAACAGAAGATAAAACAGCAAAAAGTAAAAAGCATGTGTTCCCAGCTAAGCCACAATACCATAATATATTTTCCCTTTTATTGATTCCACCGTAGAAGCAAACTGCTTTTGTTTGATTGGTGACGACTGTGAGTTAAAAGGGCGGATCAATTCTCTGAAGATAAAACTATTAATAAGACCCATCAACACCAGTTCCCTACCAGACAATCAGCAGCAAAATTCTCCCATCTTCCCCCAGTAGAAGCCATTAGGGAAATCTGCTACACTAACCTGGAACCACAGTGAAGTTAAGGTGTCTGGCAAAGGATCAGGATCCACATGTATGTTGTTTTTCTTCTGAGCAATGGGACTGAAGCTTAAATATTAGCCTAGCCTCATCTAGAAGAAACTGAGCACCTCTCTATAGTTTCTTGGTGTATATGTCTCATCATACATGAACTTGTTTGTTTTGGCTTTGATGTTTTGTACAGTTTGAAAGGTAAGAATGAAGGAAACACAGACTCCCTTTGACTTGGAATTAAAATGATGCAGTAACATTCTGAATGTGTCTTCTTTCTCTTGTAAAACTGCCAGTATGTCAGAAAAATTCTGCTCTGTTATTCACACCTGTGTACTTGCCATGAAGTACAGGACATATCTCAAGCAATGAAGTGCTCAGTGACTGCAGTTTTCTGTGGTAGAGATAGCCAGAGCCATGCAAGCTGAAGAAAAACATAACAAAAAAATACTTCTGTATTTTCTAGTATGACAGAAGTGATCCCAAAGTCCTGCTCTTTATTCAATGGCAACAGTGCAGTCTTGTGGATTGCTTCCCAAAAAGTAAGAAAATAAAACCAATCTAGCATGGAGTAGATACATTGAAAAGGCATTCATAAACCAGAGGTTTGGGGTTGAGGTATTTTGGGAGAAGGTTAATAAAGATATCTGAAAAGGAAACGTAGCTACTACTTAGGATACTCGCATGGATTGTGAAAATGAAAAACACAAGTATGTGACAGGTATGCAAGCAAACCCAGCTGGAGTACGAGAGCAGCAGACTGAGAGAAGAGCTAGAATTCTGCACTCCTGCGACAGTTGACAGTCCTGCCTTTCACTGGATAATCTTGCAGAGGCGACAGGCATACAGACATTTTAGGACTTTCAGAGCCTTTATTTGAAGGTCTAGGTGTACACACTTTGTTTATTTAACAAAAACACAGAGAGACTAAGTGCAACAAAAGTCTCAAGAGCTTTTCCATCCTAAAGTTAACATCTCTGTTAAAAAAACCACACAAGCCAAGAATTACAAACTAACAAAACAATCCATTCCTTCCCTGCAATCACTACTCCTCTCACTCTGTCAAGCACTTAAGAAAATGGATGCACCAGGAAAGCACATACACGACTCTTGGTCATTCTACAACCTAAGACAAAGTGAATACCAATGCACAAGACACATATATTCCCACACTACAGAGACAAAAGGTCATTCATTTTTCTACTATGATTTCCTGTATAACACAGGTCTCAGAATTAATACCATTACTGCTAATGAGCCCAGCAGGTAACATTCGACTAACACACTGTACTTCAATTGAAATGTCCATGCTTCACTTAAATGTCCCATCACCAGTCCCTTTACACAATTTGTTTTCACACAGTGCTATTCATTTCCTGAAAAAAGGATATAAAATCGTAAATAACTACAAAGAACAGCTTAGATCATTGCAGGTACATTCTCTTGGACTATCTATAACCTGACTTAAATGTAATGCACAGCATCTTTAAAGACTATGAAGGTTTAATTTAGAAAGAGTTGAAGATCTAAGGGTATGACCCAGTCATATTTAAATGATACAGCTATATGTTATTATCTCTTAAAAAAGTTTTAGAAGTCACTACCAAACACCAGAGCAGTTAATGGGAGAAGGGAAGCATAAAGGAAGACTTTGTGCTTGCATTGCAGGGAGGTATTTCTTCCTTCTTACCCAAGCTGTAATTTAGAGGGTACAGTAACCAAGGGGAGCTGAGGCTTCCACCACATCAGAATGAAATTGCTCAGACTCCTGCTTCCATTCTCACAGAGACTATTGAAATGGACAACCTGCTGTAACCTTTGCAGGCTTGCTGAACACGGTCTGTTAAAACTGGTCCAGCTGACATTCCTGTTTCTGGCATGAATAGGTTAAACACAAAGAATATTTTCACTGTATGACTGAGGAACATGTATCTAAGGATACAGGAAGCTGGGAACTGCCCGGAGTGGGTAATATCATTTGTTGTAATGTCAGCATCGCCATGACATACAAGAGTGAAGTCCAAGGCTCAAACTGACAGCAAAGGATGCCCACTCTTTTCAAAACCATGCTCATTATCTCTGATAAGAAATACTCTCCCCAGGGAGAGGACAAACAACTCAGAGGACTTTTTTCCATATGATCTCACTTTCAGTCAGAAAACTTGCAAACAAACATGCTTAGGGTTTGGAGAAGTGGGTAGGTGAAAGGAAACACATTTACTGAAACAGCACTGAAAGAATTGCAAAAAAGACCTCCCCTGAAGGAAAAAGGGAAGATGTTGTAAAAGCTCTGAAGTCATGATTAAATTCCTGCCCTCTGAGACCATGGAGACTGTCCACTGCTAATATCCAAGACATTACTATGCCAATTACAGGTCAGAAGTCAGATAGCTTCCTTTATCACCTCACTTCACTGAAATCTTTACATCTTCCACAGCCTTTCTTTATTTTCTGTCATTCATAAGCCTACTCCTTTAATTTTTGAAGGAATATGACATAGACGATAAAATTATTGTAGTAACATGCATGTGCATTGGAAGCATGTTTTATGATGAAATATCTATATATTGAAGTATATCATATGTTGAAAAACAATCAAGTAGTAATGTGAATACTAAATTTAATATTGCTTTATTGCTTCATCACTTCAATTTTGACCAGTTTACCAGAAAAGCATTTTTTTCTTCATAAGGCAATTTGTCAAATTAGGATGTGGTTTAAAACTCCAGATATATCTTTTCTAGTCTTTGTATCAATACTGAAGACTTTAAAACACAGCAAGCACTTCCCTTGACAACAAATGGGCCAAAGTAGATTTTAGCTCATTTGTCCATAGCTGTATCAGAGCTCTTGTGCTGGCCAGATCACAGTCATTTTTTTATATCATCCTCAGAATTGCAGTGTAAATTTACTGAACTATTAAAATCCTATTACCCAATGTTGAATATATAGCAAGTTATTATACATTTTCATTGATTCTACTAGCTCTCTAGCTCAGTGTCTTACATGAAGGTATGGCACTCATTTCCTATAGGAATGATAAGCTGAACCACACAGCAGCATCTGAACTTTGCTCAGGTAGAATCCCCTTTACTCTAGCCAGAATTTGTTGTTTCAGTCATCTGACTCTTCACGGGAACAAGAGCTCTCAGCCAAAGGCTGCCATCCTGTCTGGGTACCTTCAATCAGCTCCATCCTCACCTCATTGACTCCACTTATCTTTATATTATATTGTTCCAGTTCCTTCACAAAGCATTTCTTGCTTCTTACCTTCATTTTCTTACATTCCTATCCAAGTGCTTTCTCTATTTATAACCCTTTTTATTTCAAATAAGAGGTTAATTCTTTCTGCTAATGACAGTAAGTATGCAAACAGATTGCATTTGTCT